TTCAGCTGAAAGGTCTTGGAAGTAATACTTAGTGCCCAGTTGTCTTATTTTGGCTGGTTAAATGAAGAAATTGTTCATGACTGACCAAACAATTGGTCTCCAGGTACTTTGATAGCTCATACTGGTAGCATTCAGCATTGTCCACTGAATTGAAATTGTTATGCTATTAATATTAGACATATTATATAATTTTAAATATTTAATATATGTATGTTACATCAATATCAAGCCTGACACTTCCTACTGCAAACCCTATTTTAAGTTAGTTAAAACTTCTCATATTTGTAATGATTTGACACAAAATTTTCCGTGCCAGGTGTCTGCCTCAGGCAAAATTTTGTGGTGTTCTATGGTGTATTTGTTTCTTTTTTTTTTTTTCCCTTTTAATGTCAGCCAGAGCTGCACATTTATTTCTGTGAGCAGCCAGCCAGGGAAAACTGTGCAAAATAAACCTGGGAGCCTTTTTGAAGAGGCCTAGTGTGTCCTTATCCTGGGGGAAGGCTCTTAACCTTTGTCAAAGGTGTGACTTTCTTTTGGAAACCTGCTTCAGTTGGAAAACCTGCTGGGAGCTGGGTGAACCTTGTGCTCCCACCATCCTGTTGGAATATGATGCTCAATAGAGCCATCCACTCCTAGTGCCTTCAGCTCCAAACCAAAACCACCTTGCTGTGTGCTTGCCCCCCAAACAGCCAACAACTCCTTCCAGCCCCAGTCAGGAAAACTGCTGGCAATAAGAAAAAAATGTGATATACTTCAGCCACCTTTCCTCCTTTTTCCATGCTTCATCTTTAGCTTGCTCATGTTAAATACACTGAGCATCTCTTAATACCTGTTTGTGCTTTTAATTCCTGAAGTCTACAAAGGACTATAAGGAAAACTACATATAAATACAATTTCTATGTAAATTTTAAGGCTAAAGGAAAGTACCAAGCTTTTCCCTTGTTTTCTGTCCCAATGATTTTATCAGCAAGATACCTTCAAATTCAAACTTACTGTCCGTGTCATGGAAAGAGGTCCTCCTCCTTCTTCTCTCTGTGGGAAGAACTTGCCTGCCTTGTCTCATGTTCTCCAACATCTGTCTCAGATTTGGCAGGACAAGCACAGAGCCTGAGACTGCAGCAGTTTTCTTCCCTCATGCTGTGAAGCCACAACACATCCTGGTGCATCCCCAAGAGCATGGTTTGACTTGGTGCTGTCCTGAGAGGCTTTTCTACACCATGCCTCTTCCACCTACCCAGAAATTGCAGATCAATTTGTCAAAATAATGCAATATATTCAAGATTTTATCCTGAATTTGAAGTGGAAGCACAGAGTTATAATTTCTGGTACAGCATCTGTTTGAATATTGCTTCTTTTAGTGGTATTCATACACTCCCAAATACAAAACAAGTATTTTTATTGTAAAAATTTCTGCCATTTTTCTCTATGTTGATGCTCTGGAGACCAGAACAATTTCTAGGGAATTTTAAGTACGTTTAATCTAGTTTTGTTTTCTTGACTTGACATTTCTTAAGTTGTTGAATGCTCATTTTGGAGTATCTCAATTATATTGGTTATAAGATGACAATCTTGTACATCTCTATAACTGATATAATAATTCAGAATAGTAATAACTGTCTGTCAAAAAAAGTGTTTTAACGTGCTCAGTTTGTTTCTAGTCCTTTTGCTCTTTACGCTGGTGTGCTAAAGGATATAAGTACAGACAGAAATTAGACTAAAAATTAGATTTGTTCAGCAAAACTTTGATTGTTGTATCACAGCCCTTTATGACAGCATTCAGTTCAAAGCTGTTTGCATACCTTATTGAGCAAGCTGCATATTTTTCCAGCGTGTGTACCCAGTGTGTATCCTGCAGTCATTACATTTTTGCACACTCCACTGGCTGAGCTGCATGGACTATTTTAACCACCACCAGGAACACTTGACGGAGTTCAGCTGCTCATTTGAGTGCTTCGGTTTGTGTGCTTTATTACCTCAGTGGCGTGTGTTGATAAAGTTCTGCTGTGTGCTGTTAAATTTTTGGTTCTGCCAATCTAGCTGGGTGCCATGCTGGGGGAATTGCACGCGTTGCTGAGTGCTCGCTCCGCGGCGAGCGGCAGCGCTCGGAACGCTATAATCGGCAGTGTTTTGTTAAATGAGCTGCATATTTTTGTTTTTATATACATTGCTTACCCAGTTGTGTACATTTGCCCAACTCATTATACAAAATAAGCTTGATTGGAATAAGAACATTCTCTACCAGCTGTCTGCTCTGAGTCAGTATGTAACAAAATTAGCAACTTTCCCTTTCCAACAGTGACATGATTGCATCCAAAGTTTAAGGCAATTGGTTTGGAGATCTTGTTTGTTTCATTCACTCCATGCAAACATCAAGATTAACAAACCAATTTGTTGCAACTTAATTTGTTTTCAAAAATATGAACAGAGTTAAGTAACAGAGGAAAAACTGAGCATTCTAATAGAGGGAAATGCTTCCATGTAGAGCATAAAGCATGTAGAGACCTGAATACCATTCTCTAACTTAAAGCCATCCATTAGAAATGTAAGATGGAAAATAACTAGAGACCTCCCAAAGTGGATATTTCATCAGATAAGCAATAACCTAAATACCTAAAATTACAAGCATAACATTCTGTAAATTTAAGTGCATTATTTTATCCAGAATTATAAAAATAAGTTCATCTCATGACCACTAGAAAATCTCAAAATACATGAAAACCCTTGTGCAGGGATATGTAGTTTTCCTGCTGCTTTTGGTGCAAAATTGAATTACCACCTTCAAAAAAGTGATTTTCTCAACTTGCTAGTTTTTCATGTCAGTTCTAGTCAAACCTACAGGTTATTTTTAGATTTTGCTTTTACTGATTGGCAGAATTTGCAGCATAGAAGTATGTGCTCCCATTCACAAAATCTTCAGCACTACCTTAACCCAAAAAAACTTAATTTTTCTTGAGTACAGAGCCACTTAGGGATATGCAGTTTACCTGTCTTCCTACTTGTCCCATATGAAAGGGTAAATGTGCCTGGTTCCTGTTTGTGTCCCACTGCTAATTCCTTTCACTTTAATCTCACTCCCTGTTGCCTGAGCAGACTGCCTGGAAGGTCCAGATTTGTTTTTGCAAAGTTTTACATATGAAAGCTTATTGTTTTAGTCAAAAAATGTTTGATTTTTAAACAATGATCAATCAGTTCTTAGGCTTCTCATGGACCAATATGAAGGGTGCCAACATTACAATAGTTTGTTCTAAAAGAAAAGTGTGAATATTACTTTTAGTGGTTTGTCTTCACTTCTACCTTCAAAAAACAAACATAAAGAGATTCATAGAAATTCACTATATCACTATATTGTGGACTGTTTCATAAAAACTAATTTAGACTTCATATTTTGTTTTCTTGGAGTACATCAACACTGAGTATCAAAAGAGTACAACAAATGAGGGATACTGCATTTGCCATCTGAAAAGTCAGTGTACTCCATGAGATGAGCTAGATCCAATTTAGACTTTCTTAACAGAGACAGAATAAGTAATTTTGCATGAAATGACTTGAAGCAGACAGATGGTAAAGAAAAAGGTTTTGTCTCTGTTTTCTCTCGTCTTCCCCCTGCATTAATTTGCTTTTAGTATCAGTCCATTACCTTTAAAGATCTAAATTCTACTCTTCCCTTGACCTATTAAATATCATCTTCAGTTTTCCCAAAGTTTCAGTTTAAATTAAGATCAGATTTAGAATATTTTCTTCTTATCTATAATATTCGTGCACCCTTGGTCAGTTTGCAGATGACACCAACTCGGATGGGAGTATTGATCTGCTGGTAGGCAGGAAGGCTCTGCAGAGGGATCTGGTTGATCAGCCAAGGCAAATTGTATGAAGTTCAACAAGGTCAAGTGCCAGGTCCAGTCTTTGGGCCACAACAAACCCCTGCAGTGCTCTGGGTTGGGGCAGAGTGGCTGGAAAACTGCCTGGGGAAAAATGCCCTGGGGGTGCTGGTCACCAGGGGCTGAAGACGAGCCAGCTGTGCCCAGGTGGGCAGGAAGGCCAGTGGCACCTGGCTTGTGCCAGCAATGGTGTGGCAGCAGGAGCAGGGCAGTGACTGTCCCCCTGTCCTGGGCACTGTGGGGCCACACCTCGGGTGCTGTGTCCAGTTCTGGGCCCCTCATGAGCAGAGCGACTTTGAGGGGCTGGAGCGAGTCCAGGGAGGGGCAGCGGAGCTGGGGCAGGGTCTGGAGCACAAGTCTGGTGAGGAGAGGCTGAGGGAGCAGGAGGGGCTCAGCCTGGAGAACAGGAGGATCAGAGGTGAACTTGCAACTACCTGGAAGGAGGTTGTAGCAGGGTAGGAGTCATTCTCTCCTCCCAGATAACAAGCAATAGGACAAGAGGTTTTACCAGAGGTTTTAGATTGCATATTAGGAAAAAAAATCTTCACTGAAAGAGTTGTTAAGGATTGGAACTGTTTGCTAAAGGAAGTAAGCAGTCACCTTCTCCAGAGGGATGTAGATGTGGTGCTCAGGGACATGGTTCAGCCATGGACTTGGCAGTGCTGGATTAATGGTTGGACTTGATCTTGGAAGTCTTTTCCAGCTTCAGCAATTCTATGTTTCTATCCTATGGTTCTGTGAAGCAGTTAGAAGGTTTTCACAAGGAATGCCAGCCCATCTCTCAGCTTTCCATCTACCTCTGTAATGTTAACTGCAGCACACTGGACTAGCTCTGCTTATTTTTTCATCTGGCTAGGATTCCTACTGAAAAATCAGTGTGCTAAATTAAAAACATATATTTCATGTGCATCAATGCAGTGTGAAACAACATGGACATTTTAAATACTCGGAACAGACAGGATATCCATTATCTGAGTCCATGGAGAATAACAATAATTCATAAGGTACACATCTAGTGCATATGTTATCCATGTATATTTTTATGCATCTGTTATAGACATGTAGAAAGTCTTTCAGAATTTATACCTGGTGTTTTTTCTTTTCCTTTTTTTTCCTCTCCAGAGAGTAATTTTCAATGTTGTCAACTTCAGTAAAACAAAAAGCCTCTACAGAGATGGGATGGCTCCAATGGTGAAATCCACAAGCCGACCAAAATGGTGAGTTACTCTCTCAAAGAATTAATGAGATAAATGGGTTTTACTTGGCACTTGTACCAAAGACCCCATGGTTGAGGAGCACTTTTACCTACTTTAACTTGGTGCAGCAGTGTTGTGAGGACAGGTTCTCTTTGGAGCAGATGCCAATGTGAATTCTGGAGGTCCGTTGTAGTTCCTTGTTTCAAGTGCCATGACTGGAGGGATATCCATTTGAGCAAACTGAGCAGCCAGGGCTTGGGGCAAACTGGTTTTCAGCAACTGTCCAGCTCTTAGGACAGTAATTGTACCACTTTTTGCCTGCATTAGACTCCAAAAAGACCCCTACAAATATTATGGGAGATTGGTCTGGTTTTGAAAAGCTGCTTGGAATTGTTCTGCCTGTTTTGGGGTGGCTGGAGTTTGGTGGAGGAATGTGAGCTCTGCCACGTGAGTTGACCTCACATGAATGAGCAGTGCCAGGTCTAAGGGAGAGGGAGGCCAAACAACCTCATCATTAGCTACATAAAATGTACAAAATGGGAACTTGTGCATATTAAACATGTGAATACCCATATAGATTGTACATTTTCTCAAAGTAAATGTAATGAAACATCTACTGTGAATAATAATATGCAAATCTAGTGAGTCTGAATGCATGCAAGACTCCCAAGAATTATTTGATTTGCCTTTGCCAGGAGACTTGTTTGAATATGGATGGTGAGGTTAGGCCAGAGGTGTACAGTAAGTTATTCTTGTCAGCCTTCACAGCTGCTACTTTTTATTGGTTAATTAGTAATACATTTGATCAAGCTGGACATTATCGGGGCTTTATGAATATATCTTTCTTAAATGCTTCAACTGTCACAAATTTTCCACTCACAAGATGGAAATGGTGGTCATAAGATTGTTCTCATTGTGTGGCTTCCTCTTCATACAACCAACAGAATGGATATTTGGCTTTTTGTGTAATGGTAAGGTCAGATGGACAAAAGAACTGACTCACAGTACAGTTAGTGGATTGAGTCAATTCCAGCTCAATAGGAACATGTAATAACATTGAAAATTAATTTAAAAAATCCATTGCATTTAGTGTTTTTGTAGCAAAAGCCATGTTAATTGTGTTTACTATTTAACTTCAGAAAAATCTTTTGGGGCATTTCAGGGCCACATTTATCAAGCATATTTTAATCATCTTTCAAAACCTTTTGCTTTTCTCACTGGGGTCTGGTATTTGCAGCTAAGTGTATTGTGTTTTAAGTTTATGTATAAATCAGATATTGCTTTCATACAAATTTTATGCCTTACTTTGGTTTCAAATTAAAGTGTAAATCTTACAAAACAATGCAAAATGGACTTATTTTTTTAGAACATAGAGGCTCCTTCGCTATTTTTAAAACAGATTTCTCTTCAATTTCCCCGGAGATCTATTTATTTTTGTGTTTTATATTTTTAGAGGATGTATTTTGCTCCCATGAAAGTGAGGAATGAATAACATTGCCTGAAGCCAGGCACAGTGTAGGCAGCAGGTGCTGAGCAGCTTCCTTTTACAGGGCTACTACCACACTTTAATCCTGTTTCAAAAATTCAAGATGTAATTTTTTTTCTTTAAAAAGATGATTATTCTATTAAGATATTTTTATTTTTTTTTCTAATAGTCTGCATATGAAAACATCTTGCTCTGCTTTGAAGGTGCACATTAATTCATACTGTTATCAGGGACCTTAGTGATATTGGGGTCTACTCAGTATAATTTTCTGTCTTGATGTTAATAGGATTTATGCATGTGTTTTCCAAGTGGGAAAACATATATATTATTTTTGGATACATGGGTTCTATCAGGGCTGTCTTCCATTTGGATTATGCCTTTCACAGTTACCTCTGTATCTGTTTCCATGGCATTCTAGCACAACCTGTAAACAAAATTTTCTCTTTCTCTGTTTGCTGAAATAGGATTTACCAGCACTTGCAGCTGCTGTTGCAGCACACAGGTGGCTGTGGTCCTTGAACACGAGCAGGGCAATATCCAGCTGCATTGATTGGATCCTGTTTGATGTTTTGTATGTATTAGTCTTGTAAGCAGTACTGTATCATTCAGTGCTGCAAAAGTGCTGAGCTCTACATGAGAGGAGGAAGGGGTGGAAGGAAACTATTGGAACTCTCCACCTCATATGGAGGGTTTATGTCAGCATAGCAGTTTAGTGGACACAATGCAATTAAATTAGAAAGTGATATATTAATTACAAAAAGCTGAAGAAACACTAAAGGTTTTAAAATCCAGTTAAAAGGAAGATCATCAGTAGCCATGGGCTACAAATACACTGTAGCTCAGGCTTCATCTCTTAACTCCACTTTATGAAACATTTGAGGAATTAATCATTATTGTGCCTGCATTTGTTCTGTACCAAAATTCACCCAACTTCCTCTGACCACACTGATAGGCACAACCCTGTGTCACACATAACTATTCCACTCCCTTTTTGAGATGATCAGTTTTGACTTTTAGACGATAAAGTGCCTGTTTTCCTTTTTGCATTTGAGAGATATAGGTACATAATCCCTCTTAATAACAGATGTTCAAACCTGAGTTATGGCTTTTTGATTTAAACGAAAACTCCTCCTGTATTCAGGCTAGAATTTGACTGTATTGCTCACAAAACCCTGCATATCAAAAGTAGATTGGCCTCCAGAGACTGTGAATTTTAATATTTGTTTTGAGTGTGGTTATGCAAACATGGCTCCGAGCTTTGCAACACTTTGTGAGTTTGATTCTTGACTCTGGAACAAATTGCTGCCAAGTGCTCTTGAAGTAGAGAGTGTGTCAAACAGAGATCAACGTTTTTGACCTGTATTCTCTTGCCCTGTGGGGTAAGATCTTTAAATGCAGACAGCATCAAGGTTCAGCTCAGTGTTACTGATGTAAATGGAGTATATCACTGTCATCAAAGCACTCTATGTGGACACAGATGTTCTGGTGTTGACATATTCTTCTCTTTTGAAGCAAGGCCAAATACATTTCCAGTAATGAGCTACTGGAAAAGAGGAAGCAGTAGGGATATCCTTGAGGGATAAGGAAAAATATAGGTTTCACTGTAAAGAAAAATATTTCTTAAAAAAAAAATTGAAGCCTGGAAAAAAAATTCTGATTAAAATGGTATCTATGTTTTCCCCACATCTGGTCATGGACACTAAATAGTAAGGGGTTGTATCAGCTGTATCAAATTTCACTGCATTGAAGCACAGTTCCCGTATAGAAATACAGCAATGTGCCACACCTTATGACATCAGTTGCTCTCCATAGCAGAATGGACAAGACAAAACACAAGACTTTTTTAAAAACTAAGGAAATGGGCCATGTCACATTAACATTTTGCTTAAAATTAGCTGTTTTTTCAGCTATACTGCATCAACATTTTAGAGAACTGGAAGGAATTTTAAAATAAAAAATTACTATATATAAATTTTTAATATAAAACCTCAGTCTCATAGAGACCTGTTCTGATTTGCCTGTGTCTGTTTTTCCTCTTTAGTGGGTGTGAAGAATTTGAAGGGAGATGGATTTGAGGAAATTGAATTTTTGCTGTGTTTATGGACTTTGTGCTGTAATCCTATTTTTCTTTGTTGCTTGATTTAAGTACAATGTTATTTTGTTGCAGTTTCTTAATCATGATTTCCCACTAAGAGCCCTGTCTTTGGAAGTAAAGGTAGTAAAAAAGTCTGCCATGTGGGCATAGCAGTGGAAGACCATCTAAGTACATATACTGCACTAATGTATTGATTGCACAAAGTTTTACAAGTTTCTCAAAGTTAAATAGAAGAGTGAATTGTTCGAGAGGCAGCAGATTTTCCAAATGATGAAGTGAGCAAATATTCCCTTTGGGCAGAGAACAGCTATAACTCTTGATTATTCAGTGTGAGCATTGCCTCATTGGGGACATTAGTTTTTCAAATTGTGCTAATCTTTTAAAAGTAACAACTGGCCACTCATCACCTTAGGTATTTCAGCAAGATCATGTGCAAAACTCTAATTAGTATTTATAGAACAGCAACTCCTCCCAGTAGAATAGTAGCAGTAGCTGGCAAATATCTGGTTGACACCTGTTAAGTCTTTAGACATCCATTGTATTTTATTCTGCATTTCAAATGAGCAGAGAGCAGTAGGTGAAGTCCCCATAATTAAGGGATAAAGGATAATAAATAACATGGCTCTTGAGTGGATGAACACAAGGTTAAAGGCTGTTCTGCGGTTTTGATGCTGTATTTCAGGAACTGTTTGTTTGTAAGTAATAATTCTAGCTAAAATATTATTGAGCTTTCAACATATGGAGGATTTATGTCTAGATCTAAATGTGTTTTGTTTATAATGTCAGATTTCAAACTGCTTCTTGGCAAAGCAGTTGCTTTCTTCCCTGTCTTTTGTCTCACTCAGCAGTGATGGCTTTTAACTGGGTAGGCCCCTTCCCCAGCAAGCACTCTGCTACCTCTGCTGCTAAAACATCTACTGCTAAATGCTCACAACACATTGCTTCTGAAGTGTTTTTCTTTTCCAGCAAACCTGGAAGCACAGAAAAACTTCTGGGTAATTAATTCAAATTTGAAACTTTATGTATCTTGGTAAATATTGTCATGATGAGGAATTTTGGTAGACATCAAGAAAAGCAATGTAAGTTTTATGAACAATACTCCCATATGTTCCATTCATCAGAAGGGGACAAGTCTGAGAAAATCTGAATTTTGAGTAGCTAAAATGTGTTGCTTCTTGCCAAGTTTCTTTAACATTTGTGTCTACAATGCAGTGTTACAATCACTACCATGTCTACCAGGCTGCATTATACATTCTGAGACTTTCAGCAGCATTTTTAGTATGTATTTATATATCTTTAGCCATAAGATAAGCTGTTTGTGAAATGAGCTGTCATTTGTGGTGAAACAGTTTGAGAATAAAGCACTAAATATATATATAGCTTGCTAATCTGAAAGACTAAAATTGCTTACTATAAAATATGTAGCAGGCTGGGGCTAGC